TGGGATTAGAGGGTTCACCACTATGCCAGGCTCATCCTCCACTTCCTTGACTAGGGAATTCTATTTATTTATTTTTTCTCCCCCTGCCCCTTTGTATGAACACATATCTGAAAATTTAAAAGACAGGCCTTCCCTGCAAGTAGGGTTGGAGCTGCGGGGCATCAATGAGGGCCAATACATGTACTATTTTCTCTGGGCACAGTCATGACAGAAGTCAAGCCTATGAACCAATACACTAAATGATTAGGCAAGAGAACCACATGCAACATTGGTCAACATTATCTGCCTTACATGAGATCTCTGTGAACTTGACTTTGAGACTGCCCGGGGTGGACCAGTTCTGCAGGCTGGAAATGAGGTTCGGTTCTTATACCCCTGAAAGTGCCACCTCAGCTTTATGGATGGGTCTCTTGGCCTGTGTCCTCTGCACAGTCTCTTTTTCCTACACTGCAATCTTCACCTTGAAATCTTGGCAGAGCATCAGAGAGTCAGGATGGAAATCTTGGCAGAAGCAAGAAGCCATGTATCAACCTCATAGCGAGTGCAGGCTGTGGAGAGCTCATCTTCACTCTATTTGCGGCTTTGCTAGCACGGACAGACCTGGGCACGTGACTCGGTACAAAGAACTTTCTGAATTCCATAGACAGTTGTATTTCTGTGTCTGTGAGGCTTAATAGAGGTGCTTTCTCTGACGTTCCAAATTCATACTGGTTGTGTGTGTGTGTGTGTGTGTGTGTGTGTGTGTGTGTGTGTGTGTGTGCAGGCGGAGGCCAGCGGTCCATGCTGGGTGTCTTCCTTCAATACTCTATACCTTACTGCAATTGGTACTCACTGATCATCTCTCCTGGCTGGCCAGTGAGTTTTGGGGATCTGCCTGTCTCTTCTCCCTTCATTGTGGTTATGGACATGTGCTACCATAGGAACATTTGGCATTTTGTGGCTTCTGGGGATCCCAACTCAGTTTCTCATGCTTGCAGAGGAAGCACTTTACCCATGGAGCCATCTCTGTGCTCTGATTAAAAGGAAAACACAACAGCATTGCTCTTCTGGACCCTCTAATTGATATAAGAACAGAGGGTCTGGAAGGATGGCTCAGTGGTTATGAACATGTTGCCCGTCACCCATTTCAGGTGGCTCATAGCTGCTTGCAACTCCTGCCCTAAGGGATCTGATGCCCTCTTCTGGCCTCCACAGGCATCTGCACACATGTGGCATGTGCACACACACACACACACACACACACACACACACACACACACACACCCCACACACAAATAAACTCACAGATAAAGTTAAAAAAGAATGAAGCTTGAGCTCAAGAGGTTTGGGAGCCACCACTCAGGCCATGGATTTGGTAGGGGACAGGGACCCTGCAAGATGAAAATTGAGCAAAGCCTCAGGCAGGGCCATCAGCTGATCCTGAGTCCCTAACGTATCCCTTTGAACCCTGGTTACTGGTGGCAAGAGGGCTGCCAGGCAGAGCCAAATTCTTAGCTCTGGTCACCTTAATGAGAGGGGCATTCCTAATTGTGTGGCTCAGGGGCTTTCTGGGGGGAATGGGAAAAGAGAAAGAAAACTTCGACCCCCTCCTTGGGCCTGGGTGACAGTGTGTGGAACAATATCCTGGTGGAGATGCATGCCCCAGAAAAACCTGATCTGGATTTATCAGCATCAGAAATGAGGCCCCTCCTAAAGTCCCCCGAACTCCCATACCAAAGAGACCTCCCGCCAGCTTCAGCCCACCGACACTGACACTCTGCTTTCTGTACGGGTCCTTACTTAGGAAGCTGCCAGGATGACAGAAGAGCCCAGAAGGCAGCAAGTCTCAGGTTAAGGAAGAGAACTCTGATTCATAACTGGTGGTTTAATGGTGACAGATCCGTTCTCTTGGACGGCACTTGCTGGGAAATTACTGCTGGGAGAGGGAAAACAAAGCCCGTGGCCTTCACCCGCTCCTTCAACAGCTGTTGAGTGAGCATCAGAGCTGGAGCTGGTACTGAAGTAGCTGGTGAAATACGAGACTGAAGACGTAAGCTCTCATCTTTGTGAGGACTGTGCGCGATGGCTGTGAGCTAGCATGGGCTGATTTGACCTAAAACCATTAGCAGAAGTAGCATGATCTGGAAGTCATGGGCTAGAGAGTCGTTTCGGGGGACATGTCCTCAGGAAAGCTCACTGAAGGGAAGTCAGTTTGAGCTGAGCTTTGAAAGAGGCCCAGGCGCTGGGGAGATGGTTCAGCTGGCCAAGTATTGGCCACACAAACAGAAAGGCCTGAGTTTGAATCCTCAGCACCCATGTAGAAGAGCCGGGCACAGAGGCTCATGCCAGTCACCATAAGTCTGAGGAGATAAAGACAAGAGGACTTGCTAGCCAGCTAGACCAGCCAAACCAGTGAGCTCCTGGTTCAGGGAGCGATCAAGGCAGAGGGCTGGAGAGATGGCTCAGTGGTTATATACAGCTCCAGAAGACCTGCGTTCAGTTTCTAGCACCCATGTCAGATGGCTCACACACACCTGTAACTCCAGCTCCAGATCTGATGCTTTCTTCTGGACTCCAGTCACTTAAACACACACACACACACACACACACACACACACACACACACACACACGCTTTAAAAATGTAACAGAAACAAATCTTAAAAATAAAATCAGGACAAGAGGGATTGAGGAAGATACCAGATCTCAACCTCTGTCCTTCAACACACACAATCATGTACATATACATACTAAACTATAATAAAAGCCAGGACTAAGACCCTGTCTCCGCCTTTAATCCCAGCACTCGGGAGGCAGAGCCAGGCGGATCTCTGTGAGTTCGAGGCCAGCCTGGACTACAGAGTGAGTCCCAGGAA